AGAATCATTGAAGAGTATGGAGAGAAATGCGAGCAAGTATTCCTCGCTATGGTCTACGTGATTACCATTTGAAATTATTGGCCGAATTCTTATTTAAAAGAATACACAATTTCGATGATCGTATTGATACATTTTTTAATATCATGAGTACCATATATCCACTAGATACATTAAATGTTTAATAAAATTCTTTATTATATACAACATAACGTAATCCTACCTCCATTTCTAACTTTTTTCCATATAGATAAGATGGTAGGTTGCAAATACGGGTGGGGTGGGGGAGGGGAAGGGGAGGGCGGAGAGGGGGAGGGGGAGGGGGGAGGACGCGCGCAGCGCGCCGTGCTAAACGCATTTGCAACTTACACATAAACCAAACTTTTTTGTTAATAACTTTTTAACGAGCAACGAGCGACGGCTAAAACCTTCTGAGGGTCACTCAGGAGGGTGACCTTGACCTTGACCTTGAAGGTCAAGGTCGTAGGAGCTGGGTCCCCTATTCGGCACTTTTACCCTTGGTCCAAGTTCTAGTTTTGAGAAATGCGTAGCCAAACAACTTGCAGCTTTTGTGGAACAGCTATATTGATTGGCTACATATTTTGCGGAATTAGAACTTGGACCAAGTACTAGCATCATGGACACAGACCTTAATTCGCCTGAATAGATACAGAGTTTCTAAATTTCTAAAAGTTAATTCCTATTCTTTTCATCGGTGCTGTCGATACGTTATTGGCCGAATGAGATGTATTTACAAAATGGTTACAGTAGAAGAAAGATACGCGTTATACATATATAAATATCCATTGTTATATGTGGCGTAATTTGTTGATGATATCATTACTTTTGTAGAGAAGATAGTTTTGTAGAGAAGATACTTTTGCAGAAGAGAGTAACATTGGAGCTTATACTTGGCGCATTTTTACCTTTTTTTAAAAAGGTAAGTTTTTGGGTAATATACCTTTTGTAGTGTTAAATACCTCATACTGTTTATCACAACGATTGCACTACACAGTTCTCGGACCGAGATATCGATCCGAGATCTGTCACAAGAGTTATGTTTTACATTACAAAACATACGTCACCGATTGCGCACACTCACAATCAGTTACACAGTTTTTTGCCGCGCTAGTGGCACTTGAGAAGACACCTCACAATCAGTCCCTAATGCGACAAATATATCAATCACGAGACACGTTATTATTAAATAAATCGGCACAAAGGTTATATTAGGTTCACTCTATTTACATGCGCTCGTTAGTCGGTAACGTCAGTCACGTCAGCCGCGCTAAAACGGCAATTACGTCAGCAACGCCAATGCCACGGTAAAAATATGAAATGGACTTTGGTCTGGTCGACGACGACGACGTTTCTTAACGTCGATTTCTGATGACACCATCATTTTTGCATTGCAATATCTCCACTCATGGGGCACGAAGGAGAAAAATGAAAGCACTTTAATTATGTAAATCGACCCCAAGCTATCGATTGAGCCCACTTAGAAGTTCGTCGGATCAGCCGTTGTTGAGATCCGAAAATCTGAGGACCCGTCAACTCGCGTACTCGCGTAAACGTACATACACGGTTGGTCTCGCGCGCGCGGTTCTAGTTAATATTATAACTAGTGAGCTCATACTTGGCGAGAGACACTACCGTGCCTCGTGATACACATGTTTTTAGCTTACATTAATTTTCTTCTTTTTAATATTTTTTTATTTTTTCTGTACAGCAAAGACACTTCTACAATATTTTCAAGTTATTTAGTTATATGGTTTTATATTTTTTGACACCTTAAAAAGTACTATTTTAAATAATAATTTTTCCCGTGAATTTAGTATTTTGCAAATATTTTTATACTTTTACCTCTTATACGTTTTATATAGTTATTTTACCGAAGCATCTTTTCGATTGTTTTATTTTTTTTTATTGTTTTATCTCGAAGGGGAGATAGAGGAAGTTACGGTCGTATTTAAAATACGTGCCGTAAAAACATACAACATTTATTCAACATGTTTATAACATAAAAGCGTAGCTATAACATAAAAATCAACATACAAGAATAAAACAACAACAACGAATATTTACACATAGATTGTGATCAAAGAACGTGTCGAGGATTTAACGAAAGTATCTCAGACTAGAGGTAAAAAATATCCGAAGCTTTTCAAAAGTCGAAAATGATATACAGTCGGTCAATACTAGGTATATGAAATAAGACAGTCCCGGTGTTGTTGAACGCATCGGAACGATCGACCATTCGATTTCACATTATTATAAAGGCCCGCGTTTCTTGCATTGTTAAAAGTAACGTGAAATCGAATCGTTCTTTGCATCGACGCACGCACGCAAAAGCACCGTACGTTCGGACTATTTAAGGCAAATACTATATATTCTCCCACGAACGCTAGCTTTCCGTTTGCCGGCAGTTCAGATGAAAGTGCGTTGTCGTTACTTTATATACCTCTTACGGTGCACGAATCATAGACATTTTGTGTATTTAGGATTTTTCCCACTTGTCACTTCAACATCTGATTGTAACAATCTGCACAATTTTTTATCGTAACTTAATAATTTCTGCAAATAATCTTCCAGAATTATGCAAAACTCTTTCTATGCAATTTACGCAACAGTCAGAACGAATCAACGTCTAGATACTTATTGTTAGACAGCATCCGCGCGTTGTATTGTTCTATGGATTAATATACAAAACACTAGTGTTATTATTAATGAAGTGACAGGAATGGAAAAAGAGTTATGGGAAAGTTCTATACGTTTCAAAGGGTAATTACCATGTCGACTATTTTAAAGCCAATTTTAACGTTTCTTTCTCAAAAGCAGAGCTTGGTATCTTTTTTTTTAAAAGATACAAATACTATCTTTCTCCGGAAAAGTAATTTAGTGCATTTTGTATCTATATATCTAAAGTTGAAGGAATTCAAGAAATGCAGCTTGTATTTGTATCTCTTCACTAAATCGATTCAAAATTTATCTTGTATCTGTAGCCTTGATGAAAAAAGTCAACATACTAAACTCTGATCTGGTCAGTTTGTTCTTTATAGCTGAACCGACTGCACTAGTTCAGCTATAAAGAACAGAGCCCATATCTACAATCGAAGAAATTCAAGAAATGCAAATTGTATCTGCATTTTTTCACTAAACAAATTTAAGATTTATCTTGTATCTGTATCTTTCTCCGGAAAAATAATGAGTGCAACTTGTATCGATTGGAAATTTATCTTGTATCTGTACACTGAAAAAAATTTCTGGTTGAATATGGACGAATCAGATAATTCCTTTAGGATTAACCAGAATTCCTTTAGGATTTACCAGAATTCCTGTAATCCTACAGAAATTCTGGTAAATCCTAAAGGAATTCTGGTAAATCCTAAAGGAATTATCTGATTCGTCCATATTCAACCAGAAATTTTTTTCAGTGTAGCTTTGATGAAAAAGGTCAACATACTAAGCTCTTGTTAAAGGGTCTATTCTTTATAGCTGAACTACTGCAGCCAGTTCAGCTATAAAGAACAGAGCCCGTATCTAAAATCAAAGAAACCCACGAAATGTAACTTATATCTGCGTTTTTTCATTAAACAAATTCAAGATTTATCTTGTAACTGTATCATTTCTCTAATTTAAAATCGAGGGAATTTAAGAAATGCAGCTTGTATCTACATCTCTTCGCTGAATAAATTGAAGATTTATCTGGCATCGGTATCTTTGATGAAAAGAGTAAAGACACCAAGCTCTGCCCGAAAGTCGGTAATTCACACCAAGATTTTTCTAATGTCCCGACCAGTCCCCGCCGCCGAAGCCGCCCCCGCCGCCGAATCCACCCCCGTCTCCGAAACCGCCACCGTGGCTCAGCTCCAGGTGACCGCCGCCACCGCCGCCACCGCCGCCGTGGCTCAGCTCTAGGTGACCGCCGCCACCGCCGCCGCCACCGCCGAAATCATGGCCGCCGCCACCGCCGAAGTCATGGCCGCCACCGCCGAAGTCGTGTCCGCCGCCCCCGCCGCCGCCATGACCACCGAGGTCAATAGGATGACCCACTGTATACCCGAGCACCTCGTACTTATCCTCGCCGCCGCCGCCGTGGTGGATGTGTTTCGTAATCGTGTGCGTGTGGTGGATAGTCTTGATCTTGTACGGCACGTGGATTACCACGTGGCTGCTGAAAGGGCGTGGACGATATTAAGGGGATCCTAAAGTCATCTTTTTTACCGACACATTCAAGTGTAGTTTTTACGCTTGTAAATCTTTTTATTGGCTTTTACGCACAAAATAATACTAGGATAAGTTGCAGACCGCATAGCAGAACATTTTCATACTTAAAAAACTCACAATTAGTTCTGAACTGCAACTTATCCTAGTATTATTTTGTGCATAAAAACCAATGAAAAGATTTATAAGCGTAAAAACTATATTCAAATGTGTCAGCAAAAAAGAAAGCTGGCTTCGAAAGATCGGAAACTGTACGATTAATTTTAATATCGCGACATGAAATTATATTTCCACTTTTGTTCGATGTATTGTCGATAGTGAGTTCAGTTTCAACTTACTGTCCACCGTGTCCACCACCGGCGCTGGCTAAGTTAAATAGTGCGACGACTAAGAGGGGAGTCAACTGAAAATAATAGTGTTTAACAAAGATTGTTAATAAAGTACATAGAATTCATTCTGTCTCATTTAATTGTATTACTATCAAAAAGTCACTCGTTTACAACGCTCGGCCAGCGATGAATGTAATATTAAATAATATAGTAATTTGCTTCTGCAGTTTCGAATAACAATTAACTTTTCACAAAATATATACCGAGCAGCAGTAATTAGAAAGTCCATGAACATCGAGTCATGATTGAAAACGTAATAAACGATCAAAGTTTCCGGAACAGTATTTTCATACTGTAGAAATCTTGAAAGGGAAGCGAATGTTACTCGTCATTTCTTTAATTGCACAAATCACAGGACAAATATTTCTTACATTGTTCTCCTGGGCGGAAATAAAATAATCCTTTCGATCAAATCACCGTCCGTCGCCGCCTCGCTTCCCAAGGAGAAATGAAAAGTCAAGATGGTGTCAATTTGATGTTGTGTTGACCAAATTTATGTCATATTTTGGTAACGATCAAAGTTTCCGGAAACAGTACTTTCATACTGTAGAAATCTTAAAAGGAAGCCAATGTTACTCATTTCTTTAATTGCTCAAATCACAGGGCAAATAAAACAATCCTTTCAATCAAATCACCGACCGTCACCGCCAAATAAAAGGTCAATTTGACGCGATTAGATTAACGTCATCTTGACTTTTCATTTCTCCTTGGGAAGCGACGCGGTAGCGGTCGGTGACTCGATCGGAAAGATTACTTTATTTCCGCCGAGGAGAACAATGTAAGAAGTATTTGTCTTGTGATTTGAGCAATTAGGAAATTACGAATAAGAGATTTCAACGCAGCGGTGGCGAGTGTGGCGCAGAGAAATGTGCGCTGCTTAGTAAACCAATGGAACGAAAAGATCCGAGTTCAAATCCACGGACACCGCTGGTTTTTTTCGGAATCTTCCGAAGGGAAGTGGCACCCACCTCCTGCCACACATATCCCTTCAGGGGTATAGCCAGCCTCCAGATGGGAGGTTTCCTTCGGCGCAAGGCTAGCAGCCTACCGAGGATGAAGTAAAACCAAATGCTCAAAGTACCAGAACTGGATAAAAAACAGGCTTTAAGCCCAACACACGAGGAAAATAGTGTTTCCGGAAATGTTCACCGCTGCCGCAACATGACATTTAGTCAATGTAACATTAAATTGACTTTTCATCTCTCTTTGGGCTCTGTCGCGGTCTAAAGTGCAATTTGTCTCGGGACTTACCAAGAAGCGCGGTACCGAATCTCGTCGTCCCGTCATCGTTCCGTTTTCGGATAGGACCGGCGAGAAGAGTGTCGCTTCCGGCCCGTGGCAGGGCAACGAGGGCGAAACGAAGGAGCGGGTTTGAGCGACTGATCAACCGGGAGGCACGACAAGGCGAGCTGCTCCTCCGGCCCGGTCTCGATCTAACGACCATCGCAAATACGCGTGCCGCTTATATATATACGTACGTGATAGAAGCAGGATAAGAATGAAAGGGAGTATTTTGCCACCCGTGTGCGCCGCACTCGTGAAAGGAGTCGCCTAATGGCCTTCCCGTGGCAAAAAGTCACCCGATCGCGGCGGAACAGAGGGGGACCAGAGCGCACCGGTGGCGTGCTTCGCCTTCCTCCCTCGCCGCCTTTGTATATTTCCTCGTTTTCGATCAGATCCGTCGCGGCGGGCCGTTCCTCCTCCCGATGAAAGGCAGACGCCAGGTGAACGGCCAGGATCAAGATTGCGATCGCACCGCGGGCGGTAACGCGAGTTTTCGTTCGTGTTCGCGAAACTTACGCATCCTCACGCGAGAGGAGGAATAATCGTGCCGCCCTCTCTCTTCAACTCGAAAGATTTCTCTCTTTTTACCTTTTCATTTCATTCAAATTATGCTACTCTATTGTACCTTGTACGTGAAGGTGTTCGAATGTTCCGAGGATGCTCTGCCTACACCCAGAAAAAAGATTTGGTCAGGTTAAACGAGATACGTTGAAATTACGTTTCTACTACATTTTTATTTACTTCCACTGAAACATTTGCTAGATTTGAAGAAATAGATATGAATTCTCCTTAGAAATTCCAGTCTCGATCAGATAAAATTTTGGTTACGGTAGAGAAATCTTTTTTTTTTAAATTAAGTAAGAGTCTAGTAAGGTCAAAGTTCAAACAGACGCTTTTCTGGGTGTATGTATATCATAAATCTGTTACGAAATTGTAAATATTTATGCTAACCGCGTGTTGTATGTACATTTGAATGCAACATTTAGTTGTTCGAAATATTTGAACATTTAAATCGTTCGAGCGTATCCAGAAGTGTAAAACAAAAATTGTCTTACGGTGCGACATTACGTTAAATATTGATCGAATTAGTATACTCGCGTATAATAAATAATATCCCTTTGTGTTTCTATTTGTAGCTCGTTATTTTAACATATTAAAATCTCTGCATGTTATTTTAAAATAATCAATAAATATCGCCGTACTTTCAATTGCGTTTAAATCGGTCCGTTTAATTGCATTTTTCGTGAGAAGCAGAGAGAAAATTAAATATCATTTACACGCGACTAATACGCGTGGAAAAGTCTCATGGGTAAGATAGTAACTCTGTCTACGTTCTGTTTGTCTGCATTCTACTTGAAAGTTCAGCAATTGCTGCCATCTATCAGTAAACCGACGCATACGTTTGCAATATTATAATTGTATGCTACAGCTGTCAATGTTAGAAGTTACGGTATGTCACAATTGCAATTATCTTGCATATTTGTAATCATCGCGAACACTCCTGTTAATTGTCTTACAAGTAAATGTAACTGTTATTGTTTAGTTAGTAATTGTTAGTAATTGTTACAATGTCAGAGTTTTTATCCGACAATTGTCGTACTTGCTGTCGTGGTGCTTTATCTGTAAATTGTAGTGACTCAAATGCATGCAAACTCAATGCATACAAAAGATAACTTGAAGGCGAATATACTTTCGGAAGATTTGCATAATGTAAGGAGGTACAAATGTACAGATTAACATCTCCGTATAATTGTACGGTTTCTCATCGGAAACTGCGTAATTAACGTCAGACTTGCAGATTGAAAGTTTATTATTAATTATAAATTTATGTGAAAGTTATGGCAGAATTTTTTAAGATTTGCGCTCGGTAAAAAATACATTTACAAAAGCAGCTCTTCTTCTCTTTCAATCCGGTGTTCACGTTTTATTTGTTTCTTATGGCATTATTACAGAATTTGTAAAAGTTTGAAGTATAAACGAAATAACATAAAATCACATTTCAACTAAAATCAGATAATTTTGAACAAAAATATGATTGATGCGATTGATTGCAGTAATTCATATAATTGAGAAGCTACAAGTATGACGATAATTATTGGTTATTTAAAAATAACAACGAGCTAAATATAAATGAGTTAGGTATAAATAAAGGCTGAAAATCGTATTTAAAATGCTCAACTTGCTCATTGATTTACTTTTACTCTGACTTCTCTTTTAAATACTAGAGATGATTTACTAGCGACTTATCCACTCCCATACTTTCTCTGGCGCGTGGTTTCTTAATGTACTTTTTCATACTGTTCTCACTAGTTCTTATTAAATTGCTTAAAAAATGTCACACTGACTTTCTATAATGAAATAGAAACCGCATTCAACGTATAACGATGTGCCGCAAGAAGCGCGCCATTGTTTCATAATGTAATACACGCGCGCTTTGACAAGACAAAGGGAATAAATTTGAAAACATTAAACTGAAGAGAAAATTCAGACAAAGTTTAAAGATTCTACAAGAGTTTCTTCAAAAACTTTTACCCCCTTTTAAATACACAGTTCTCCCGGCATACAATAAAAGATTAGCCTAAGTAATTAAATTTATATATCTTGATATAGCAGGTTCTCAGCGTCCAAATTCAATCCCAAATCTTTTTTCGCAACAAGGCTGCAAGGGTAAGAAATTCCCCAGGTAGACAGCTGACGTCACTTATCGTCATTTTGACGTCGAAATGTCGTCAGAAATGCCATTTTGACGTCAAAATGACAAGTGACGTCAGCTCGATACCTGGGTCATGGTAGAACCAACAAATGACGCCTATTAATTTAGCAAAAACTATCTCGTATTAGGTGTTTGTCTCATAATAGGGGACTTTCCTCTATAAATATAATTCAAGCAGATTAAAAAGTAAAGACCGTGGAAACAGTATAAAAGAAATACGAAGTAATAAATAATTTTGCTTTTTCGCAATACACTTAAGAGTAAAATTATTTAGATACTAACATCCTGTATTGGCTCTTACTCCTTTATTACTTCGTAATTGTGTTTCCACATTAGAGCATGATGAATTTTATTAATAGCACAAAAGAAACGTCGAGAAATAGACGCGTTGTACGCGGCACATGTTCGGCGGCAATATTGGAAATGTGCGCCGCCGACGGCTGGTAAATTACGGAAGCGAGAGGGAACCGTTTCCCCTTCCTGAAGAAGCGCGCCGAGCGGATAATGCAAAGGCGCGCCAACTACGAGGCGATGACCGGCGACCGCGCGTTCACTCTCTGAATTTTGCGCTCACCTTCGCAAAACGAGCGCGCCTACGGGAGAAAGGGAAACCGATCTCGGTGTGTCTCGCGTAAAACGTGCGCAAGAGCAAATTATATGTGTATGCCGTGCCGCGCGAGACGCCGCGCCGGTGCCGCGAGCGAGAAAACAAAAACGAGTAACACGCGATACGGTTTATCTTTTTCCTTTACAGCTCGCGCGAGACCGTGACAGTGAACTCTCTACTGGAGGAATCCAATCCGGCCAGGGTCGGAGTAAACGTACAGAGTGTTACGTTTCAGTATCACGTCAATGCCATGGTGTCGCCCCAGGGAAATGTTCAAGGATCGGACGTTTAGACGAATAAACCCAAGGAGAACAAAAGGTCAGGATGATGTCAATTTGATATCATATTGACCAAATTTATGTCAAATTTTGGTCGATATGGCATCAAATTGACCAAAATTTGACATAAATTTGGTCAATATGACATCAAATTGACATCATCCTGACTTTATCTTCTCA